CTGGTTTATTTTGGGCGAAAAACCCATCACCTCCTTAAATGTTTTACATTTACTCAGTTACACCCTGTATATTAGATTATAACTGTCTCAATCTCAAATCTTTACTGAAAGAGAGAAACCCCAGAAGAACTCATTCAATTCTTTGATGTACCATATGTATCAACAAATAACTGTACACCTATCATTACTATGATCAAAATAACAAACAACTTCCTGTTAATGTCAGATATCAACTTTGTTCTTCCTCCCGAACAAGTTTATAGTGGTGTAAAAAAATACTTTTCAAGTTTAGAATAACTATGTTTTTTCCTTCCATTCGGCTTTATGTAGTAAACTACTCGTAGATAAAATGTAACTGTATTCACGTATAAATATTAGAATTTTATTTATGATTTAGACTGTGCTGACATTTTCATAAGAATAATTATTTTCATGTAATGAGGTTTTTACCTGTTTGAAAAAAAAACAAATAAATAAATTCGTTTTTGGCTTTCTACTACTCCATCTGATACAAAAAATGGATGAGAGAATCTTCCAAAGAAATCACTCCTAAAAATATAACCCTTTCAAATCAAATAAATTCGATTCTACCAAGAGCATTGCATATCTGAAATGCGTTATGGATTGTGGCTACTCATCGTTTTGAGGTTCAACTCAGTACACCTCGAACTTCACTGTTTAAGAACTCTTCCATCTAGAAAACTGCGTTAATGTGGAATAAACTTCCTGAGAACGTTCTTCCAACGCTACTTTAGCACAGGCACCGCTCTGATAGCGCCTTAACGATTTTTCTGCAGTGCTTGTGTTTTGTCTTTAAAAAAACAAAAGTAATAATAGTAATGTGGTACACTGATACATAAAAATTTCTGTACAGAAAAGAAAATGAGAAGTAGTGGTCTATATCTACATGTGATATTCACAAATAATCAACTAATTGACTTTTAGCTCAATATCTCTGAAAATTTTCTCCATTGAGCTCGATCTCAACACCAATCTCAATGGAATAAAATGCGTGCGTGAATGTGGCAAGGCTTTGAAAATATGCTAGAAAAATTTCCCCCCAAACTAAAATTCACAGATGCGAGCTACTTTTTTGTAGCCCACCTTCTGTGATGCGAGTCAAGTGATATTTCGATCATGTAATTACAAATTCAATCGTCCATCAGAGTAATTCATCAATTCGTTTCTGTTTTTCTAGTTGGACCGTGAATTTTATAGGCGAATGGAATGGCTCAACCGGCAAGAAATTTATTCCTCATCCCAGAAAGGATGAGAATTTTCCTCAAAAGTGCAAACGTGGGTAAAGAACCTTTACCAGAAAGGTTATACTACGTCTGTTATTCGAGGAAAAAAGGGAAATGACGGGCTTCATATTGAGGTCCGGAAATAAAATTGTCGTTGGGGATTATGGATTGGAATTTTCATGTTGTTCAAGTGTGAATATAGAAGACCTTCTTCGAAAACTATTGGGAATTACTGGAGCTGAAACGTAGGCGATATTTATAGGACGCGGCGAATTTATTGCTTTGCTTGGAATTTGTAATGTGAAAATTGTTCGATGAAATTAAAACATGCCATTGTTTTATTTTATTCAAGGACATATACAAGCACTACAGAAAAATCCTTTGTTTGAAGGTGATTGACAATGTTTCATGATGAATTTCACTAGTTCGGACTTCCATTGTCTATGAAAATAAAGAATTGAAAACAGAAAATAAAAATACAAAGTGGAGAGATTCCAAGTCACGTTAGTTTGTTGATTTTTACCTGAGTTCTTTTTCTTGATTAACCTCTTCTTCCCGTAAAGGATCGAAATGTTAAATCTAATGTTCTCACTGGTTTTCGGGTATTTGATCCGTGTATGTGATAGTATCTTCAATCTCATCGATGTTTCGACAAAGTCTCATTTGTTACCATTTGGATATAACTGTTCGGAAGTGTGTTCGGAAGTCGGTCGACCGTAATCGATCCGCTTTCTACTGTAATGGTAAAATGGTGTTTGTTACATGTTCGGAAGTAGAATGTCCTCAAACACTCTCTATTACCTACTATTTAAATGTTGTTGTTGATTTTTACCTGAGTTCTTCTTCTTTTTCTTCTTGATTAACCATTTTTTCCCGTAAACGTTCGAAATGTTAAATCTAATGTTCTCACGGGTAGGAATAAGCTGAACTGGTTTTCGGGTATTTGTGTGATATTATCTTCAATATCACCGACGTTTCGACAAAGTCGCATTCGTCTTCATCTGGATGTAACTGTTTAGTGTTCGAAAGTCGGTCGACCTTAATTGATCCGCTTCCTACTATAATGGTAAAATGGTGTTTGTTACGTGTTCGGAAGTAGACTGTCCTTAAACGCTCTATTACCCACTATTTAAATGCTGTTGTTGATTTTTACCTGAGTTCTTCTTCTTCTTGATTAACCTCTTCTTCCCGTAAAGTTACATCCCGTAAAAGTATATTTTCCATCACGGTCAGGAATCCTAATTCGTGATCTAAGTAAGTCCGCTGCTTATTGCAAAAGCTTCAGCTTCGCGACCTTGTTCGTCGTTGATGTTTGAAAATTTGAGAAATTCGATATTGTGGACATCGCCTACCCTAATCGCTGGATTGGACCTCAAAATTGGCCAGCTCGCAGTTCTGATTCATCTAGATTTATATCTATAGGTTATCTGAAGGCTCTCGTCTATTAAACTCCTGTACTAGTTGTTAATGACTTGACGAATCGAATAATTGACAATCGCAATAGCGTAAGGAATGCTCCAGAATGTGTCAGACAATCAATGACAAATCGATTACATTCGTGTATTTCATCAGAAGGTGCACATTTTGCTCATTTACTTCAAGGCCGAAATTGTTTTGAAAACTACAAAAAATTATATTGAAAGTGGCTTCAATATTTTTTCGAAAACGAGGCTAGATATGAAGAAAGCACAGGCGACAGAAAAACTGTGTTTTCAGTTGAATAATCCTCAAAAATCAAAAACTACAACAACAAGTCAGTGACGTACTTTTTTTCCCAATATTGTTGTCTGTGGTGACCACTGAAACACAACTTGGCCTTTTAATTTCAATCTGGTTAAGCTAAATAAGCGCCTCATCCTTCCAAATAACTCTAGCAAATTTCAACCAAATTGGTGTAAGGATATTCATGATATTTTACAAATACGGTTTTTTTATTTCCAATTCAACGCCATGTATCTCAGTAAAGTTTTGTACCATAGTTAGGAAACACCCTGTATATGTTGGATCCTTGATATTTATGAAAAGCCATATAGACAAATGTCAATATTTGAATACATTTCTTTCGCAGAGAGATATTGACATTTTTCCGCTCCATTCGTCCACTCAACAAATAATGGGTAAATTGATCAAGCTGATCAAAAAACTCGTCCCCAGCATCCGCAATTTTCCACTGCGAGGGTGAATCTTTTCCACCATTTCGAAGAGAAAGACGATCCTTTTGTTTGTGCTATTCTTTTCAGAAACCTTTTGTTCGATGAAACCCAAAGAAAGTCGTTATATTTCATAACGGAGTAAACAAGGAGGCGTTACAGAATTGGAAACGTTATTTTCGAAAGCAGGCACTTCTACGAATTAATATTGTAGGAAACACCCATGTCTGGGTTAATATTCATGGTTAGTTATGAATGTGATTGGAAAGTACTTTCACTATGCTATATTTTGTATGTTTATGATACTATAATACGAGTGGATTTCAGAATTTGGGCCCAATAAATTATGTAAGTGATACTATATAGTATATTTTTTTAATGTACCCCCTTTTATTACTACTACTACAAAATGGTCGAACTTTTAAGAATTTCCTGAATACATTGACATTTAACTAGATAATATGAGGTACTGAGCTTGAGGTCAGTTCAGAAATATCGGATAGGCTGTTCATATGTCATATATTCATATGTCAAGAAGTTCAAGGCAATCATTTTGAGCATCTTCTGAACCGACCTCAAGCTCATTACCTCATATTATGTAGTTAATTGTCGATGTATTCAGACAATTATTCAAATTTCCGCCATTTTGAAGTACGTGAAGATATTAACTTCATATTCTAGGGTTGTGAAGTATTCGTCAGGAGTAGACTGGTTCACATGTACTCGATTTAGCTCTTTTTGGTGACATTTTTCAGCCCTGTCCAAAAATTACGACCAAGGTGTCATTCGATTCGTATTCTTGCCTAGAAAGTTTAAGGAAAGGTCCGAAAACGCGCCGATAAAAATTACAAAAGTTATAAACAATTAAGTGAAAAAAACATGGGGCTTCAGTTTTTTCTTAATATCTCGGAAAATTTTCAAAATTTTGGAAATTTGAAAAAAGATTTGAAAAGATNGCGCGCGGAAGCCAGACTACCCGCTTTTGGCTCTATTTTCAGGGACCTGTAAAAATTATAAATAGTCGAGATACAGTTTTCAGATACAGTGATCTTTTCAAATCTTTTTTAAAATTTCCAAAATTTTGAAAATTTTCCGAGACATTGAGAAAAACTAACGCCCCATTTTTTTTCACTTGATTGTTTATAACTTTTGTAACTTTTATCGGCGCGTTTTCGGACCGTTCCTTAAACTTTCTCGGCAAAAATACGAATCGAATGACACCTTGGTCGTAATTTTTGGACAGGACTGAAAAATGTTACAAAAAAAAGTGCATGTGCACTAGACTAGAGCTTCAAAAAGATATGTCACAAGACCCCCCTTTCCATGCAATAAGATCAGCACCATCTATGTTAGGCCCGTTTTGAGCTCAGGTAGTACCTTTCCATTATGGAAAATATATGTTGAGGGCCTCTAACCAGATTACAAATTTTTTTGTGAATAGAGATGATCTTTGCCAGACAAATTATGAAATGACCATCTAAACTCCGAAAAAACCCCCAACAAAACGAGACATATGAGTTATTGACAAAAAAACGGAGAACATCAAACAAAATGAAAACTCCGAATCGAAGTTTCCCAAAGAATCGGAAGGATGTGCAATACTCACCTCGGTTTCATTTCCTGAGCTACTCGAACCGGCCATTTTGTTCCGGTTCAGTTACAATATCTATACCTAGATATTTATGACTGGAAAGCAATTTCCGCCACTTGATATTTTATTCAATGGACACTCGAATGGAGTACACATTTTCTTTCAAGCTGATTTTCTTTCGATCCATTTTCAAGATTATTTTTCAAGACGCAACTGAAAAAAAAGAAATAAAATTTAATCTGGTATGACAGAAATATCACATGACATATTATTTTTGAACGAAAAAGTGAATGTGATAAAGTTCCCATGATACTCAACGACCTGATACTTGCATTGTTCAAAAAGTTCAACTTCTAGAGATAAAAAAACATGGCTGGTTCAGTTATTTGAAATAATGGTACAGGAGATGACAAATGATCAGGATATTTGATGGATGTGAAATACCAAGTGGAAAAATCTTGGGGAAACACGACACTAAAACAGTTTCAAACACACCAGGAAGATACAACAAGGCTTTAGGTCGGCTAAAGACAAAAAGTGCCCATTATCAGAAGCAGACAATTATCGCTCATTGTCACGGCCTCTAAACCCGAAAAATAGCGGCACCAAAAACCTCGACCGCCAAATTCTCAACTATTTTATCAAATATGACGGAGGTAATGATTTCTAACTTTTCATACTACTTTGATAGTCAGTCAGATACAAGAAACCAACGAGGAGAACTCCATGTGATGAAGTAGATGGTGACATTTGAGAAGTTAGATACAACATAGTCTTCAATCAGGCGGATGACTCTTTTCTAAGTGGAATCCAGCAGCTTCAGGGTATGCTCAGGGCGGAGCTCCATACATGAGAACAATACTACAAAAAAGGCCTGAGCTTCATGAAGCATCATAATTTGCTAAGATGTGTAAAGTGTAACAAGATTTTGACGAGCACAACAAACTCATCGAAGCAGAAAGTGGAATTGTTTGTCCGGTTCGGAGACATTAATTTTTTTGGGGAAAACTGATGCCTGGGTTTTTATGGCATTGAATTGAATCGGTTACTTTCATCTCAATAAGAAATAACTTCTGCTCATTAAGATTTGCAACCTCCTGCTGCCGGTGGAGATATGCATACACAGCCGATGTTCTGAAATAGAAATGGGATCTCGAGACAAGATTGCTGTCGTCTGCAAAGAAATATATTGGATTATTGAAACACACTCTTTTTTCGTGCATCAGATGGAAAGGAAAGCGACTAGAATACCAGAAAAGTACCGAGAATAAATTTGATGCAGTAAAAATGATCACCCTCATCTCAGGAGAAATAGGAGAGGCATCTAAATCGTAAAAGACATCATAGATACCAAAGGAGGAGAGGACAGGGGGAGGAGTTGAGAAATTTGTAACACTAAGGACCAATTGTACAATAAGAATTATCAGGCGAGTGAAAGACGGGTTTCACCGTGGTGTACATGACTTGCACCCACTAGACTAGGAATCCCCGGACTGTCGTGAGAGGCACAGCGCTATGGAGGTTTTCCTCCTGAGCCAAATGCTAGCTATTTCTGAAGCTATTTCCGGTACCGGAAAGTGGCTAACAATAGAAAGATAACAAGGAGACGAAGCATCAGATGCTGATTTGAAGCCTTGAAGAAGTGAGATTTCAGTCTCGCTGGTTGAAGATCGCTCAAAAGTGAGCAGGGGTGTACGGTTGGGAATACAAGCTTCTGTCCACAGTAACAGAGAGTGGAAACTTCAATCTGAAGCAATGTCTGACGATGGTACCGGGAAGCGGCTAAGAAAAGGAGGATTACAAGGAAACGAGGCATTATATGCTGATTTGAAGCCTTGCAGTCTTGCAGCCTTGCAGCCTTGCAGTCTCGCTGGTTGAAGATCGCTCGGAAGTGAGCAGGGGAGTACGGTTGGGAATACAAGCTTCTGTCCACAGTAACAGAGTGTGGAAACTTTAATCTGAAGCAATATCTGACGACGGTACCGAGAAGCGGCGAGAAAAAAAGGATAACAAGGAGACGAAGTATCAGACGCTGGTTTGAAGCTTTGAAGAGGTGAGATTCTAATCTCGCTGGTTAAAGATCGCTCGGAAGTTACTCATCGATTTTTTTGTGTATGTAGGTACATATATTATAGCTAATATAAGGATAGGATTAAATAATGATACCAATGATGTACGTACACAAAATTAGTATTTTTTCAGCCACATTTCACATAATAAAAAATTGCGTGCTTCCTGGTTAGATTTTTGTGTCAACAGTATATGTTTATCGCACACTGAATAATGGGCGTCTGTCCGACAAGAGAGGAAGAGCCTGCCTTTCGCTGACGTGAGAGAAAGGGAAGTCAGACAAACTGGCACCGGTATGCGTTAGGTAAGAAGTAATCATATGATAATTTGAGGTCTTTTGAGGTTTTTTTCTATTAATGGTGGATCATTAAATGGATACTATTGTCTGTTCAAAAATGAGAGAGACTATGAACTCTGTGTCTCAATTCATAGGGATGGATATTTCCCTTCACCTGCGTTGCTGCCACTACCTGTGTTTGCTCGACTACCTGTTTTGGTCTTATTACCTGAGCTGCCTCTCTTGTCTCTGTTATTGTACCTGTATTGTCATGTACCGAGTTTTGCTTTTGAGGTTGAGCGGTCTGATTGCTTGTGCGTAACGATGAAACGGATCTCCATGTTGATGGTAATCTTTGCGTATCATCTTTCTTGTTCATATTATTAGATCGTTTTTCAATTTCGATAGCCTCTCTGATTGTTCGCGAGTAAAAGTTTTCGTTGCTTGCTAGCATTTTTGTGTTATCGAAATTGATGTTATGTCCTGTTTGAAGTACGTTTTTGAAGAGAGAAGGCGTAGTGACTTTTCCCTTCACTGCTAGTTTGTGTTCATCTTTGCGAATGTTGATTCGTCTGTTGGTCTGGGCGATGTAAGTCCTGTCACAATCATGGCATGGTACCTCATACACTCCTTGTGACTCCAATGGTATCTGATCCTTGGGATTACGAAGCATGGACCTTATTGTCCGTTCTGGTACGAACGGAGTTGATATGTTGTGTCGGTGAAGAATTCTGCTGATTTTATCTGTTGTTCCTGCAATATATGGTAGTGTGGTTGTTATGACCGGTGTATCTCGAGTTTTTTGTTGTTTCCGTGTGGTCTTGGCAGCAGCTTTTGTACTTCTTTCTGAGTATCAGTCAAAATAACAAATCTACTATGACGAATAATAAAATATGTCCAGTAGTATCCAAGGCATTCTCTAAAAAATAGGTATTTAGTTGAAGGGGATTGAAAAAACATTGTTTTTTGAAGGTGGTATAGATAGATATGTTTTTGAATTATATTGTTGATAGGCACATCGCACCCATCAATAAGACCGGCTTGGCTTTTTAACGGGGTTATTCGTGATATTCTTCAGTTTACTTCGAGAGTGCGTTGAATTAACAGCTATACAACATGGAAGCTAGTTGTTTGAAAATCGTGAAGCGTCCGAAATAGTCATCATTGAATATAAATGAAAAAACAATTGTTATGAATGTATATGATTCTTTAAGAATACAATATCCGCCCGAAATAAAAAGTAAGGTGGAAGTGGGAAGGTTTGGCAAAATCAGAACATCAAAAGTGGAAGACAAGCCTTTATGGAAGGTTGGTCCACTGGTTTGAAAGTTCCAGTTGGAAAAGGTCGTCGTCTTATCATCACTCACACATGCAGCAGTGAAGGATTCGTGAAAGATGGATCAATGGTGTTTGAATCGAAGAAAAATGGGGATTATAATTTTATAGATCCGTTTATAGATCCGTTCCATAGTCTCAACTCATAAATACCGATTTTTGAGTTGTGTCACGTCAGAAAAACTAGTGCGATGGGTCGGTTGAAACAAAAATACTGAATAACAGTATTTTTCTGACGTTTCATCTGATGATTCGGAGTAAATCGAATATAACTGGAACTCAACTCAGAAACAAACATATTCTCACATGTTCCCGTACATTCCTTCAGTTTATCTGTATAACATGTCTCTATTGTTTCGCCAAAACAGTTATTTTCCGTCATTGCCTTTAGGCATGTTCTTTGACCCCATAATTCACAAAAAATGGGATCCTTCAAATTCATCCACTGTAAATTCAGAAAGGAAATTGTTTGAAGTGCTTCTTCTTCCTGGATTCTGTTCATGTGTTTTTTTTGTACGATTTATATTTCGTTTACACCCGTTACTTCTATTTGGGATGCCTCGCGTCAGGTTATGATTGAAATATTTGGGCCAGAAAATGCCGGATAAAAATCTCACACCGCTCTAGGGATTACAGTGGATATAGAGTTTGAATAATGAATGTGAATACAGACTCGATTTAGGGGTGGTTTTGCACGATTATCGCTCCCACGCACTCACTTCTCATGCTAATTTCCATTATTTGGAATGGCAGCAGAATTTAATATCGAACGATATTGGTGAGAAATAATTAGAAAGTAACCAGCTTTTCTAATGAACGGATACTTCAAGAACAGTTATTGCCAGTTGATGAGGATATTTCTGAATAACAGATCGAGTGTACTGAGTGATCAACAGATATCACGTTGAGAGGAACACAGGCAGGAGACACGCCAACAACATGCCTCCTCACGTAGTTGAGTGCCCGACGATTGAAGTTTCCGTACTCTGTTACTGTGGACAGAAGCTTGTATCCCCAACCGTACACCCCTGCTCACTTCCGAGCGATCTTCAACCAGCGAGATTGGAATCTCACTTCTTCAAAGCTTCAAATCAGCATCTGATGCTTCGTCTCCTTGTTATCCTTCTTTTCTTAGCCGCGTCCTGGTCAGACATTGCTTCAGGTTGAAATTTACACACTCTGTTACTGTGGACAGAAGCTTGTATCCCCAACTATACACCCCTGCTCACTTCCGAGCGATCTTCAACTAGCGAGATTGGAATCTCACCTCTTCTGTCCACAGTAACGGAGTGTGGTCATTGAATAAAATTTGAGTAATAACGTAAGCTTTTCTCAAGTTTAAACAATTCAAATATTGAATAGTCACAGACAGATCATATTAATACATATATTTCATTGTGTCGTTAGTTTTTCATCAACTGATTGATATTTTATAGATTAATACCCATACATTGAGTTTTCTGACTATTTTTAGACAACGAAAAGCTAGTAAGTTAATCAAGGTGTGGGCTTTCCATTCCAAATTCATCAAATTGAAACATGAGGA